TCCTTCACCCCGGTGGACACGGGGACGGGCGGAGGCGGGAGCAAGCAGGTGGGAAGCTGTGTGACGGTTTTTTTGCAACATCTGGTTTTGGGGCTTTTTTGTTTGTTTGTTTTTCTTGAAGCCATCAGGAAATAAAAAGAGTTGTTTCAGCTTTTGGGATTCTGTGCTTCTCTCGCGGTTCAAATATGAATGAGGGAGGGAGGGAGGGAGTCTCCTGGGGACAGAAGTGCTGGCAGTTGGACGGAGGTGAGCAAAATGCCTGAGAACCTCTTAAAATGGTAATAAAAAGGTAAGCGGCTATGCGCTGATCAGCTGTGTAATTGGTAAACCGGTTTTGTTTAAGAGCCCTATTCCGCACTGAGGTTTTTGCATTCAGTGTTACTGCGTGATGCGTTACAAATTTGATCTCTTCCAGTTCAGATTTACTGCTGTAATCCTGCTGAAACCCAGTACCTCTGCTTCTGTAGCCTGACACTCCGGTCTGGTGTAACGGCGTGAACACGCAGATCACGGAATCGCAGCATGGCTGAGGGTGGCAGGGACCGCCGGGGTTCAGCCGGTCTAACCCTGCTCTGGTCCCTTCATCGTCTTCGTGGCCCTTTGCTGGACTCCCTCCAGTAGCTCCATCTCCTTTTTTGTGCTGCGGAGCCCAGCACTGGACACGGCGCTGCTGGCGTGGCCTCACCAGTGACCTGTTGGTGTCTCTTCTTAGGGAAGCCACGGCAAATTCTTGGCTCAGACCAAGGATCTTTGTTTATAATGTTCTAGTGTTGGACAGAGGCATACATTATGGTCAGTGCTTAATAAAACCAAAACCTGGACGCTCCTAAGTTTAGTTTTGCTTGTGTTCCATAAAGCAAACAACCAGAACCAAAACAGCAAACAGCAATCACAGTGATAATTATCTTTAAAAACAGATGGATGATACAACAATGAAATAAATACGTTATTTTCCCAGCAAAAGCAGCATGTATGTGGACTCAAGTATAAATAGTTTATGCTGTGTGAAGCATTTTAAAAATCATGAAAGGATCAGTGTCTTAGTCATATGAAGGCTTTACACATAAATTTTAATGGGATTTACTTATAGGTGAAAATCTATTAATGCAATATTTTTCAATACCTTTTCACAGCAGCCATAAAAAATAAGTTCTCCAATTTTTTTGTAAAGTTCGTATGAATTAAATAGTATATAATCCAGCCCATCTGTTTATAATGTGCCTATTACCAACACTTGTTAGTTTCATATGCAATACACTAGATATATGTGTTCTTACACAGTTATTACAATGGTTTTGTCTTCAAAATACACTGTGATAATGAATACATTAGTCCATTGATACAATTGTACTTTTAATCTTTTTCAATTTTATGGTCCTGCACTTGGGTCACAACAACCCCATGCAACGCTACAGGCTTGGGGAGGAGTGGCTGGAGAGCTGCCTGGCCGAAAAGGACCTGGGGGTGTTGGTTGACAGCTACCTGAACATGAGCCAGCAGTGTACTCAGGTGGCCAAGAGGGCTAATGGCATCCTGGCTTGTATCAGGAATAGTGTGGCCAGCAGGACCAGGGAGGTGATAGTGCCCCTGTACTCGGCACTGGTGAGGCCGCACCTCGAGTACTGTGTCCAGTTTTGGGCCCCTCACTACAAGAAGGACATCGAGGTGCTGGAGCGTGTCCAGAGAAGGGCAACAAAGCTGGGGAAGGGTCTAGAGCACAAGTCTTATGAGGGGCAGCTGAGGGAGCTGGGGTTGTTTTGTTTGGAGAAAAGGAGGCTGAGGGGAGACCTTATTGCTCTCTACAGCTACCCGAAAGGAGGTTGTAGTGAGGTGGGGGTCGGTCCCTCAAGCTGCGCCAGGGGAAGTTTAGGTTGGATATTAGGAAAAACTTCTTAACCGAAAGGTTAGTCAGGCACTGGAACAGGCTGCCCAAGAAAGTGGTTGAGTCCCCATCCCTGGAGGTATTTAAAAGAAGGGTAGATGTGGCGCTGAGGGACATGGTTTAGCGGTGGACTTGGCAGTGATAGGTTAACGGTTGGACTTGATGATCTTCTGATGGTCTTTTCCAACCTTAACGATTCTATGAGAGACTAAATACTCACCCAAGACTACATAAGGTAATAGCCAGGGAGTTTCTCATGCTGTCAGCACAAAAGAAACCCAAAACGACGTGGGGAATCTTTACTCAGATGCTTCGATCCATCAATTGTCAACTGTGTCAGCTGGAACAAATTGCTGTGCTTCAGCTTTCTCCCTGTAAACCAGCAACAACTCTGTTCCAGCTCTGTGCAGGGGTGGTGTTGGGAAGCTCCCCGGATTTATAAAAATGCTTTGAGATGCCTGCATAAACGGTGCTTTGTATGTGCAAAGCATCGTACGGCTTGTCAGTAGTAAAATGCTGTGACTGGGCTTTTGGCATTTATATATTATGGGTTTGCTGTAATCAGGAAGTTTGCCTCCTTTCTGTGGTGCAAAGGGATTCCTGTAAAAGACTCTAGATTGGGTCTGAAATGGCAAGATTATTTTAGCCATGAGGGTGTTACCAAAATGGATTTCCTTGCATTTTTCTTTTCTTGTAGTTTGTGCACGGGTACTGGGAAAAAAATGGCAGCAGAAGTACACGCTAGCTAAACCCCCTTTTTATTGCCAGCAATAAAAGTGCCTCTTGGCTGGGAGCACGAGAAGGATCCTGTGCTACAGTTCTTGATTCCTTAAATGCAATCTTAAGACTATTTACATGTTTGTTTTTACAATTTCCAGAACCTATTGGCTTTGCCATGCTGTTGTCTGTTACCATTCACTTTTGAGTATCCGTACATGGGAACGTCCGTGCAAGCGCGCTTAGTGGATATTTATTAGCTGAGTTTACAGGATTTTGTTGCAACTTTCTTTTGTAACTCTTTTCAAAAGTCTTTCC